GGGTTAAGCAAACTTGTAATATATTCCAACCCAACATTTGCCACATACTACAGCTGACATGTCTTCTACTACTTGTAAATCCATCAGGAAAAGAACTTGGGATGAGATGAATGTATTCACAAATTAATGTGGAAAAATTTCAATTAAAACTGAGGGCAATCCTTTTTCCATATTGAAATGTTTAGTTCTGATATTTTTTAATGATTAATTTAACTTTGGAAATGCCAGTCTTTGAGGGGGGACAACTTTTTTTTTTCCCACTTTTTTTCTTTCAGAATGGACTTTGTTGTTTTTTTAAAAAGTGATCTCAATTTCAATAGGCTTTTATCACTACAGAGAAAAATAAACATTCCCATCAAGTGCAACACTTGGTTTAACCCAGAATGCTCTGCTTTGCTTTTTCAGTTTTGATAAGAAACCTGGAAGATTTCTGTCTTTTTCTGACCTGGACTTATATGCTGTAACTTTTTGATTTGTCCAATGAGTCAAAAAAGAAATATAACTCCGCAATAACTATTCTGTCTTCCTGATTTTAAGCATGATATTTTGCTTATGTGTGATGTTCTTTTTCAGACTAAGGTATTTATTCAAGTTTTGGCTTCCTAGCTATCATCTTCTGTAATAGCATGAGACAAATAAACAGCATGTGGCTGCGCCAAGGGGTGCATTAGCGTACAGTGGGTCCTATTAAAATTAAGTTGGTTTAAGGACTCTGCTGGTAGGTTTATGCTGTCTCCATGGCCACCCTAAAACCTGCAATGAGGACAGAGGTGTTGCCCAAGCAGAACCCATAAGGAAGCTGTATGTGCACTAGGACAGATAAAGATTGTGGACAAACAGGTTTTTTCAAGTGCAAAATAATTGGGTTTGATAAGCAGAAAGTAAATCTTTACTGCATCCCAATATACACACAGAGCAGCTAGTGTGGAAGCAAAGTGGATTCAGTTTTAACAACCTGCTTATTGCTGGACGTGATTGAGCTGCTATTACATCACAGCACATGTCAGTGGGCAAGTCTGGCCCTGTGGACACTGCCTCACCGCAGGGAAGGTGGAGAAGGGACTGCAGGGACTCTACTGTCAACGGTGGCATAGGGCACCCTGGGTACAGAGCAGTCCAGGAGAAGCAGTTTCACACAACCAGGCAAGGATTTGCGAAACAGAGGGCAGACGAGAGCCAGAGGTCAGAAGAGCTTAGCAGCCTGCTGAAGTTGGGTGTCTGGGCAGGGTCTTCCTGAGTGCTGCTTCATTTTGTGTGTGAGACTGGAAAAGGACTCTCGTCCTACCCAAAGTGGATGTTGAACCCTTCCATAGACCTGGTCTGGGTTTGCTTTTAAAGACAGAAATGCTTTCAGCTTAAAAAGCCATATAGTGTTTCTTTAAACATGTGCCTGCCCTTCTGAGGGTCCAGCCCTTCTTCCATACAGACCACTTGTTCTTTTTGGACATCGTGCATTGGCCCAGCACTGAAACACATTAGAGAGAATATGATTCAAGAGTAAACATAAGAAAAAAGTGGATATAATCAAGTATATTTTGGACATAAAGCCAGCAGACATAAGGAGCTGGGTACATCAAGGAGATTCCTCAGAGAAAAGCCTTCGAGCTACATAGGAAAAACAACATTTGTCCCTGTAGCCACCTACTTGTGTTCATCTGGGATCTGAACAGAAAAACACAGTTTAGGTCTTTGAGAAAAAAACAAATCTGAGAGCATACAGCACTGTCAACTACATGAGCAACCCTGAGTGATGTTTGAGTAGGACAAACATTAATGTTTCCCCAAAACACATTGAAACTCTCTTAAACTTTGTGTCTCAGTTACAGGATGTAATTCTGTGCTATGAGCACTCTCTCTGTAGCCACTGGCTTTGTGCCTTCACCTACCTGGATACGAGGCTCCCCTACCTTCAGTCCATCCTGGCTCACAATAGGGGTTTACCCACTTCATCTGGGCTGTGTTTGGACACTGCTTCCTTCCCTGGGAGGTTTGCCTTCTGGGCAAGTACAGATTACGTTTGGACTGGGGAACAGCCATGGTGCTTGACTTGCCATCAGTTCTGGACCTCCTGTTATTGATGTGCAGGGCCAGGCTGGAGCACAGCACAGCTCTCTTTGGGCTCTTGTTACCTATGGAGTTCAAGCTGTGGTAGGAGCTAATGCCTGGCCAAGTTTCACCCCAGCACAGAAGTAGAGCATGGGTAGGATGTGAACCTGGGAGTGAGGAGCTGCTCCTGCATCCTGGGCAGGCACACAAGAGTGACTGAACAACCCTCCCAGAGTAACAGAATTTTCTTCTCTGGCTTTTAAGCCAAGGAGAGGATGAACCTCCCCAGGTCCACACAGACACCTCCTTTACAGAAAGGCAGCCTGGCTGATGATAGCACCATTAGATCTCTCCTTTCTTTAGGTATCCCCTCAATTTCCTGTGTCTCAGTCTGGATCTTGCTTCCACACTTTCTTCCTTGTCTTGAGAGAGGATTTATTTTCTTGAGAGAGGATTTATTTTCAAGACTTTCATATTTACAGCTCCCTCCTCCTCCTCCTCCCCTCTACAAGTCCCAGCATAGTTTTATAAATTGGCTAGAGAAGAGGCAAAATCCTCAAAGCCAATGCTGGAGGCACTGTCCCTTAATCACTCCCAAGCGTGAGCTGGGAAGACAAGAGGACTGAGCTGTGCTCTCTGCCTGCATTCCCACACATGAGTGCCCAGAGAGAGACCCCAGCAGCCTGGGCAACCCCCAGCCTCAGCAAGGATCAGAGGGGCTCCAAATGTGCCACGCATGGCCATCAGGATGAGCAGCTGTGTAAGGTCTGGCCCTCTGTGGGGGCCAGTGGCTGCAGCGCCACGTCTGCTCCGGGGAACAGTCTGATCATATTTTGTGGCTTTTGTGTTTTCTTTTTTCCTACTTCATGTGGTTGTGTGAGGCAGCAACAGCCAGAGCAGCCATCCCCACATCTCCCTGTGCCGCCCCTCTGAGACAAACCCATTGTGTTTCCCCAGGCCAACACTGAGCTGGCAACAGAAACCCTGGGGACAAGGTGAGGGGTCTCCCTGCCCAGAAGAGCCCACCAACAGAGGGTCTGGACCAAGTCCTGTAGCTAACCTGTGTCTCACAGTTGATTTTATCAAGCAGGGAAGGGGTACAAGAGGAAAAATACCTCTTGAGGTCTTCCTCCTTGCCCCCACCCTTCACGTGTGTATCACCACCTTCCCCACCTCTGCTGCAGATGTCACTGAGCAAAAAGTCTGTGTCTCTGAAGCACAGTGATTATGGCCTGGGGGGGTGTGTTCATCTCAGCTGTGCATGGCCATGGGTCTTACACAGCTGTGCACAAGGCAAGGTCCTTTGCGTTGAGTTAGAACAGCCTAAGGGTTGCTCTGGTTTACACACCCCAGCACTCTTGAATTCATTAATGACAGCCCCGAGGAGCTGGAGTTGCAGGTCAGGCTTGTACCATTAAAACCCTTCCCTCCAGCCCTACTGCGATGTCAACAGCATGTAAAACTGGCGTAAGAGCTCCTATGCCTTGTCCTTGGCAAACCTTGATGCTGGGGGAGACCACAAGTTTGCACAGAAAGAATCGGCCTCATTGGGATGGGAAGCCACCACAGTGCAGACATCTTTAACTGAGCCCCATCTCCTCGGTTGCTGTCAGGGTCACTTGGGAAAACCATGATTCAGCCAGTCTAGTTTAGGTACCTGCTTTGGGACAAGAAGAGTCATATGCAAGGAGTGGCTATTTCTCTCCTTCCTATACTAGCTCCCCTGCAGAGTTTTCTTTAGGCTGATAGCAATTTGGTTAGTAGACAGCAATGCATTTAACAAGAGGATATCAACAGGCCTCCTTAGTTCACCTACAGGCGTGCAAGCCTCCGACATACAGACATTTTGCAGGACTGTATTACAATGGTCAATTCACAGATTTAGACTAGCTCTGCTGTCATTGGTATGAATTTCCCTTCATCTTAATGAATCAAATATGTCCTATAACCCATAATTATTTTTCATTTGTACTAATACCACACAAACCTTTCATTGCCTAGTCAATTCAGTTTATGAATGGAAAGTATGCAGGCCACAACTTTTTACAGTGTTCTGTAGAAAGAGCTGCTTTCAGGCACAACTACTACATAATGATGCTCTTAAAAAAAAAAGAAAAGTCACAAAACCAATATAACAGTGTATTTGCTTGGGAGCACAGAGTACACAGCTGTGTGTGTTGCAACACAGCCATCCTGAATTGCACGGATTTCGTGCTTTTTAAACAGCATCCATGACATCTGGGAAATATTTCTGGAAGAACAAATAGGAACACAATGTCCTGAAAGGTAAATGGCTCGTTGTTTCCGCAAAAGCTTTCCAAACCAGTCAGTACAAGATGCTGAATTCATTTGGAGTGAACAAAGTACAAAATGCTGCCATTTTTATGCTGGTTTGTAGGTTCCGTCTACTCTCTCTGTAGAATTACCAACAGTGGGAGATGGTGGGCTTATTTATATCAGATTCACTGAGGTAAACAAAGGCTAAGAGGACGGTAGCTGCCCCCAGTAGAAATACTTCATGCAAAGTGCACTATGAGTTGCACAGCTCACATTCAGGTTATATTTGCCTTTCTACACATAAATATAAATGTGCATATACTTATACATACACATACTCAGATATCAATCTCAGGTTATGGCCCAATTCACTTCTACCTCTTACTCAAGCAGTTACAATGGAATATCTCCTTAAATGGAGAAAATGCATTTTTTTCCACCTTCATATCAGTTAAAAGTAGAGGTTTTAATTAAAAAGTCTGAAGTCAAATTTTACTCAAAAGGTCACTTCTGCTCTAGGACTTTAAGTGATTTTAACCCCAGAAAAGAAACACATGCTGGCTTTTCCCATTCCAGTGAAACGGAATAACAAACATGACCACAAATACCCTGAGAAAATGTTGCTGCAATGCAAAACTGTAAAGACCTGGTCAGGCCTCCTGGAGGAAAATATTTACCTCAAATGTGCGCAGAACTTTAGCCAATGCCCCAACTTCTTCTTTCAGAGAGAAAATCAAAGAAATCACGCCATTTTTATTTGAGGACTCTTCAATGTACATAGATTCCTGAAAGAAAAGAAAACAAACAAAAACATAAGTACATTCACCTTAGGAGTCAGTTTTGCTTTACTTCATTTCCCTTTTGTGTGGCATGAGCAATGCAAAGAGGGTATAAAGTTGCTTTAAGTAGGAATCAAGGCCACTGTTGCTGCCAGAAGTAGAGCAGCTCTGGGATGCTCTGATTTATGATGCTACAGTCACAAACCCCTTCTCTCAAACTAGGGTCCATGTGGGAGTGAGGTGGTCAAAAAGGACATGAAAATAGCCTTATATCATCTCTGTCTTGCTCCACCTCTCACGTATATCAAGCTCAGGGATGACTGGAAACATTATTGCATGTTACTACAGCTACAGTGCAAAGAATTTCCCACAGGTTTTCTTTTCATTAATGCTCAGGATTAAGTAGAGCAATGTAGATGAGCTCTGTGCAGAGATGCAGGCCATGATCTGTGTTTCCCTTCAGTTCTGTTTGTACCTTCCAGGTAGCTCAAGAAGAGGTGGTATTCACAAGAGGGATATGGAAGTTGTTACAACAACAACAAACAACAACCCCGAAAAAAAGGGAGGGGGAGGGTGCAGAATGTTGGAGCAAACATTTAGATCTTCCCTAAATCCCACAGTGAGTAAAGACTTAGTTAGGGCAAGATGTGTTTTCATTTATGTTTGTTCCTTTTCTCTTACTGATTTTCTGTTCTGCAAATTCCAAAAGGCAATTTCCAGTATTCCCAAGAAAGGAGAATGTTTATTTTAATTATTTTCATGGTTCTCATTACCAGAATGTCTTAGTATGTCTCAAGACATGTGTTTCTTTTCACAAAACCACTGTTAATTAGGGAAAAGCTACTTCATCACTTCAGAAACAGAAAACTGAGTCCTGGAGTGGTGCTAGATTTTCAAAATTATGGCAGGTAAGTGCCTGCTGAGATTTCCAGAATAGCTTAATTTTTCTGATGTCAGAGGAAATTTGATGCACAACCATCACAGACTTGAAAGTCAGATTATTGCCATATTTGTTGGGTTTTTTTTAACATCTATTGGCCTTGGGCAAATTGCCCCTAGTTGGTATTTCAAAGATCACACCAGATATCTGCAATGCAGAGGGATACTGATGTGACAAGTCCTGGGCCAAAACTTGACTCAAGGTATCCATTCAGTTTTTCTTTATGAAGATCTGTATTTTCAGTCAGAGCCTGTCTTCATTATAGCTGTTTCTTAATTTAACATATAAAACAGAGTATAAAGAGTCACAGTTCCCAAATATTGTCCTTAGAAGTCTTTGTAGCAGGCAAATTAATAATCAAATCCAACTGCCCTGAAGCCATAAAGCTCTTGGGGGGGACTACATTTTCTGAAGCAGTGTTATAAGGAACTGACTTCTTTTGTAAAGTAAACAGTTGCTGATTCTTTAGGCTCTCTCTGAGTCTGATGCTAACCTGAGAATTCATTGCCAGAGACCAGGAACAGATTTTTCTCTCTGGCTTTATTTCCAGAGGATGCAAAGGTTATCCAAATGTTTTCCACCTTCATGGGGAACCTCTAGTGGGAACTGTAGTAGAAATAGTGGTTTTATGCATCAGAGGGAAGACTGTCACCTGTCTAACTGTGACACTTCCCACAGCATTTCTGTGTCTTCTGGCTTCTCGCCCAGCCAGAGAGCTGGCCCAGCACTTATACAGTGGGGACCAAGAGGAAAAGCAGTCAAGAGTAATGTGGCAGCTGGCTAATGAAACCCATTTACACCTGAAGCAACCACAAGGGAAAACAATGACAGGAGTCTGTCAAACGGCAAACCAAACATCAGTAGTCTGGAAATTTTATGACAGTCGGTGTAACCAAAACTATCATCTGAAATCTTCTCCCAAGTAGTTAGCAATAGGACAAGAGGAAATGGGCTCAAGCTGTGCCAGGGGAGGTTTAGGTTGGATATTAGGAAAAATTTCTTCACGGAAAGAGTAGTCAAGCATTGGAACAGGCTGCCCAGAGAGGTGGTGGAGTCACCTTCCCTGGAAGCATTAAAAAAATGGGTAGACGTAGCATTTCAGGACATGGTTTAGTCTAGTCTACCCTTAATTGGTTTAGTGTGGGCTTGGTAATGTTAGGTTAATGGTTGGACTGGATGATCTTAAAGGTCTTTTCCAACCTAAACAATTCTATGATTCTATGATTCTATACTGTCCATGCATTGCTTTGCCCTTCTATTTTCCCCCACCACAAGCAAAACTGATCTTAAGGACAAAACTGTGCAACACCAGTGTCTGCCTGATGGACCAAGAATTTGGTTCTCATGGTCTTTACTGGAACTGCTTTAAAAGCCATGCAGTTACGTATTTAAAATACTCTTGCCAAGGCATGCCACAAGGACCAACTTATATGGCAGGTTGACTTGAATCTATGTGACAAAGGAAGAATTGGTGGTTTGGACGCCTGCAGGGTATATAATGCAAGGTTCAAGTCCTGCAAGGTAATTCTGATGCTTATTGATCCCTTTACACCATGGAATTATCCAAAAATGCGTTGAAAATCTTCTTTCCAACCCAGATAGATTCTCATTGGTCACTAGCCTTGATGTGTTGTGATCAGCCACTTTCAATCTGTCCTCACTCATTTTCCCACTCTTGTAAATTGATTTATATTGGTGCTTAAAAGTAAGACACATTGCAGTAGGGAGTAGACACTAATCTTGCAAACAGTGATACTTGCTTAACTTCTTGCACATCTGCAGATGCACTGAGTTCACTGGAAGATCTTTGTACAAACGTTAGTTCATGCCTGAGTCTGTCCACAGAGTGACAGCTTTCATTGCAAGGAGAAAGAAGAGTCAAATGATTGTCTTCCTGGTACCCAGTTCTTATTAATACATATGGAGGTAATATGCATCAATACACACTGGAGACAATATACATCAACATATACACTGGAGGTAATATAAATCAACATACACACAGGCACGTTTATTGCTGAGCTTTTTGTAGTACCTATGCATAGTTTTAACTGTTGATCACAGTTTACCCATTCTCAATTCTAATTCTAATTTCCTGTTTTTCAACCTGTGATATAGAGAGGAATTGCAACTTTGGGGTACCTCTACTCTTCTGTTACTACTGTGATTATGATTAAGAGTTGAACAAATAGTTTCATTGCCATTGAAATATTGTCTATATGGCTTGTATACATGATTTATAAATGTAATGTGGGATAAATTAAGCTTTAATTTTCTTCCAGCTCCTTTTTTTCCCAAGAATTAAAATAAAAACCAGTTGACAAAGTGAACATCCATTCCTGGACCTACTACAACCTCAAAGACAGGTGATGTGTAGATGAAAGGAGGGGTTTACCTGAGTGGAATGCAAACAAGCATTTTTAGTTAACGACTTCGTGCAGAGATTGATATTGCCTTCCTGACACACGTGGCAGTATTCAGTATTAGAGATCAGTAACACAGACCTGTCAGCCTTCTAATCCACTTCTGAGCAGGTTAGATAAAGCCTTTCAGAGTGAATTCCAACACTGTTAAATCCAGAGGAAGTTTGGCTTGCAGTTTCAGTGAGAGAAAATTTTCACCTCTGTGTCCCAAATTCCAGACTTACTAGATATACAAAACAGTTGGGAAAAATTTAGAAAAAAAATTTTCAAATTAAATAAGATTCCTAAGTTACTTCAGAAGATGGAACTACTTTCCAAGTCAGATTTCTTAAGGCATTTAGAAGCTCAGCTCCCACAGATCTCATTGGGACCAAGCAATTACACAACTTGGAAAGGTAGCAAGGTGAGACCCTGGAGAATTATTGTGGGAGTTCAGCCTCACACACAAAGCAGTAGGAAACCAGGCTTCCTTGGCTGATCCACTCTTAAAATGGCTTGTAGAAACTGAAGCCCTTTTTCTTCCCCCCCCCACATCTTCACAGCTTGTCTCTGGCTTCAGCAGCATTGCATAGGACACATACATGCAGAATTTGGTCCTAATACTTAACCATGCTGGCCTCAAGTTATGCCACTTGCCCCTGCAGTAACTATAGTGCCTGTAATTGAAAGGCATGGGCTTCAAGACCTTCCTGTATTTTCAAAAACAAAGGGGCCAAAGTAAATCCATAAACGTTAAAGAACAGGGATGTCAGAGTCACAAAATTCAACAAGTAGCTCCACCAGAAGAGCATGTAACTTCAGCTGCCTTCCTTTAACAGAAGAAGACAACTTTCTTTTTATCACACAGGTTTAAGACCTCTAATTTGCTGCTGATCTTTCCTGCTGCTTCTTCTATTTGCCATATATGCAATGATACTGTTGCAACGTTCATTTTCATTCTCACTGCACTTTTGTGAGCACAATTAACAACAGACAAGTACACTGGTTGCCAAAAGGGAGAATGGTGGCAACCAGGCACTGCAAAGCATTGAGACAGGCGTGTTGTTTCCTCCCGTCTTGGGTCACGCTGCCCCGCAGAGAGTGGGGAACAAGATTTGCAAGCATGGTGGGGCAGAAGGGAGGCAGCCACAAACCCCCCTGCAAAAAGAGGACACACAGACCCCATCGCTTACCTGGAAAGGGTCACCATTCATTTTGCAGTGCTGTGCGTCCATGTTGCACAGGCAGCAATGCCCACACAGGGAGGCCCCTTTGTCGCTGCAGGTGAAGACTTCTGACCTTACTACTGTGGCCAGAGCAAAGGTATTTAAAGTGGAGCAAGTGAGGCAAAGCCATCCCCTTCCCCCCTTCCCCAGCTCCCTCCCCCAGACGCTGTGCCAAGGGGGCGTTCTCCCTA